TCCATCAAAGAATAAACATAGGGATAGAGGTAAGCTTGCAATTTTTTTCCAATTTTATTTGGTTTCCCCTTTCTCTCAATAGTAGCAAACAATTTCCTAGCCAGTTTATATAATAACAACTAAATATACTTATTTCTCTGTTTAAATCTAAGTACCTTCTCCTCATTTTAAGTCTTTGTGTCAATACCAGTAATTTCATGTATTATCCCATTTTTTTCCCTTACAGCCTGTTCCTGAAAAATGGAGGATGAACTTACTGGCCATCTTCATAACATTTCTCCTCTAAAGAAAGGTTCTAAAACCACATGGTTTGATATGCAAATTCTTTGTTCGCAATTCATGGTTCGTGCAGAGGTCCCTAATAAGTTGTTACACATTCTGTTCCTCCAAAAGTTACTTGTAGAAGGGAGAAGACAATTAGAATGCACAGTAGAAACAAGGATTAATTAAATGCAGTAGGTAATCAAAATTACAGATTAGAATCAAGTAATCGGTGTGAAATCATGTTGAATTATACGGATGAAAAGGGGGAAGTTGCGATTGAAGGTTACGAGATTATAATTAAAGATTGTTGCTGAATTTGTGTGGTCCCAACTGAAAAAAAAAGTACAGCAGTACATAAACTAAGAAAGTACCCTGGGAAATGCAACACATACCTAACTAACAATGAGACGATTATAAAGAGAACTGAGTGCGAGAAATAAACCAATGTAGTCAATACAGACCGAGAGGGAAATATCGTAAATGTAAAATAAAGAAAGACTTACTTTTGTCTAGCTCCTAACGATAGCAGATGAACATTGAAAGTAACAGCAGCAACTAATGACGATAAAAGATGAGATACAATATCTGATACATGTGCTCAAAAGAAAGTGATTGAAATGGCAAACTTATTAATTAATAATCATTAACTAATGAGGGATTAATTGTTAAAAAGAAGCCAGAACAGAAGACAAGAGAAAAGTACACGAACTACACGCTTCGAAACTAACACTCACGTGAATACAAACCCTATAATATTTTCTCTGGACCAAAAGCTATTGATAAAATTCAAGGAAAGTAAGCAAGAAATATATCTTTATTCCAAAAAGTCTTAGATAGACCGTTCAAAAACGAAAAAACCAAGGAATTTCTTGAACTTACAAGACCTGGGCGATATATGCACCATCGTTGTTTACATAAGTTCATGGCCATAGCGTTGTGTTAAAGATTCTGGAAGTTGAATAATTTAAAGACAAAATCTTCGATTTAATAATACCTTAAAAACATATGAACACTTAAAAAAATAAAATTATCAGTCCAAAAAATAGTCAAATATCGCAGAGTCTCACTTGAAGTTAGGAAGTTCTGTTTTCATTTTCGGGCCTTTCCCTACGCTTTTGAGAATTGCATTTTTTGTTACCCCAAAACTAATTCCGTCACTTTTACGCTTAAATTTAAATTATTCCAAGAATATGTAGTTTCCATTTAAGCTCCGAAACGTCTGCTATGATTGGGATAGATCGAAAGAGGTAACAACTGTATGCCACAAAAAAAAGAAGTACATGTAAGCAACTAGCTCGCACTAGACACATGTATGCCTTTGCATACCTATTTTTATATAAGCTGCTATTGACCATGACAGTTCCAGGACTCCCGGACACAATCTTTGCTCAGCCAAACCCAGTTTGAGTTAGTGGTTATGATACATATAAACTCACTGATGTCTCGAGTCAGGGATGAATCCATGAGAGCAGGTCACTCAGTTCATCCACAACAAGAAATTTTCCCTTAAGGAGGATCTTGCATGTGTCTCTGAATCAGCTTGAATGACTCATAATCATTAGCTGGGCAGCAAGACCTTTAAAACCTCTGGGGATTTTCTTCTTTCCTCTCCTTGGTTTTTAGGTAAGAGTTTTCCTGATCAATTTGTAAGTGTCTGCAAGACACAGGTGCTTTACACATGAGGTTTCTGATTTCCATATTTGTTGGGAAGAAATGCCTTTTTTTAAGGACAGGGGGCTGTCTGCCACAATAAAATTCCCTCTTTATAAAATGATAAAGATGACATTCCATCTTGGAAAAAAGATTAACACCAATTGAAATAAATTCTTTGGTTTTCCTTTGACCAATCTTTCATCAACAGGTTGAAGTAGCTCAATAGTCTGATGTTACATCAGTAGTAAAAGAGAGAACTCTACTGACAGTCCCCTAGATGGACTTTTCAGCAACAGGTATAACTACAATTACAATACCTTAAAACTAAGAATCATTTACTATTCTTTGATAAATACATAACAGCGTTATGGAAAGGTAAGTAAATGCAAAAATATGTATCCATAATGAAATTCTGATATTATATCTCAATTAAATAGTGTATAAATTATAAGTTGTATTTCGTTTAATAGATTAGTGTCACTGTTATTGATAAACCAAGTAAAAAGATGACAGGAAGCATATTTGTTTGGAGTTTTAAGATTACTCTATTTTCTTGTAAGAGTGCCCAAGCACCTATCTAAAATTTTGGATAAGAGGAGGAGAGCATATTGGAGGGAGGGTGCCTATTGATGGGAAGCTCCTTATTGGAGGGAGGGTGCTTATTGAAGGGGGGTGCTTATTGAAGGGGGGTGCTTATTGAAGGGGGGTGCTTACTGGAGGGAGGCTGCTTAATGGAGAGGGTGCTTATTGAGCAATTATTAAATTGAACTTATTCTGTTGTAAATGAAGCTTGAAATGTTTCAATTAATTGGTGATAGAAACAGGTTTCCTTGTGTACCTCATATTGAGGAAAGAGAGAGGGGGCAGGCAGCACTTACTTGAGAGTGGCCCTCATTTCAATATTCTGACCTAGGCAATGGGTGCTTATTAAGGGGAGGGTGCTTATTAGAGTGTGGATGCTTATTTGAGGAAATATGGCATGTGATTTTTGAGGCAAGCAGAGCAATCTATAGCCAACTAAGTTAACTTAAACATTTTAAATCAGTCACCAAAAGTCAGTTTTCTTATTGGGAACAAACTAAGTGGTTGACAACTTGCTCTTTCAATAGTCAAGAGATAGCTTGTGGAACATCCTGGGGAGCTGTGGAATTCTGCACGAGATGGTGAGAGTGATAGTCAACATATACATATATCAGACTGGTTCAAGATTAAGTCGGGAGTAAAGCAGGGATGTGTAATTTCAGGATTCTTATTATTACTTGCCATGAATTGGATCATGAGGAAGAGAACAGCAGACAAGAGAAGAGGAATAAAGTGGAATTTAACAACAGTGTTTGAGGATCTTGATTTTGCAGACAACATCACACTACTTTCATCTAAGTTTAACGACTTGTGAGAGAAGACTGAGAGATTGATGGAGGAAGCAGCCAGCGTAGGCCTTAAACTTAATACAAGAAAGTGCAAGACACTTAGGACTAAGTTTGCAAGGAACAGGGAGAGCATTTTGATGAATAGTGAAGAAGAGGAAGATGTTAAGGAGTCTGCATATCTTGGAGCTACTGTAGACTAGGAAGGTGGAGGCAGGAAAGATATTAGAAACAGGCCGCAGAAGGCATGAGGTGCATCCCAGAGGCTATAGGAGGTGTGGGTAACCAGAGGAACTGGAAGGAGAACCAAGATATGCCTATTCAAGACTTTAGTCTGACCAGTCCTGCTATATGGTTGTGAAACATTGAAAATCACAAAGACTGATGAAAGAAAGCTGAACAGTTTCCAAGGCCAAGGCCAATGCCCAAGGCCAATGCCCAAGACAGATACTAAGGATTAGATGGCAGCAAAGAACGACAAACAAGAGAGTAACTGAAATGGCAGAGATCAATGAAATTAGCTGTGAAGTGTGAAAAGGAAGGTGGAACTGGTTAAGACACATACTCAGGAGAGAGGGTGTGAACAAATGTTTTATGGCATTGGGACAGACACCAGAAGGTTGAAGGGCAAGAGGGAGACGAAAGACCTCTAGAAGTTATGACATTACCACTGTCAAAACTGCTGGCATAAATGTTTTGCAACAATCAATAATCACTTTGAAAGTGTTTTATTTATATCTTAGTCAATAGCAGTTATGAAGTTTTAGAATGAGCCAGGGGGAAATTTCACTTTCCCTGGTTTCTTTTAATGATGTCAATTTTCCCTAGCTCAAAGTAAAATTCCCTGAGTTTTCCAAGGCATTGAAGTAAATCATTTTTCCCTTAACTTTCCGACCATATGACATTCATGCCTAACATTATCATGCTGGAAACGAAATACTATTTCTTTTGGAAATAGCCTACTGATGACCATAAAACAAAAGACATGAGTCATCTTTCAATCTCCTAGTTTGGCTGTCTGTAAACTTAACATCTTCGTCTTTGAAATGTTCAGAATACACTTTGGTACTAGATGTTACTCTCAAGATTTTATTGATCTTTGTTTATTCTTAAATTCCATATCTGTTTTAAAAGAAACTGAAAGACAACAATCGCTTCAAGAAATCGAGACGAGACGAAATTATTTCACTGACCACTTACTCCTGGAGAACAGGACATATTCATGCGATTAGCAGTTGAGGAAACATAACATGGATGTTTAACTTCTGAAGCTTAAGGGTTTGGGGTTAGAAAATTCAAATTCGAATTTATGGAAATATCATGGCGTTTAAGAGGCGTAGCGATAATCGAATAATTTCTACGCTTTGCAGTCAATTTATAATGGCCGCGACTGTTGTTTACCCATTTCAGATCATGTGACTAATCAACAATGAAAGGTCTTCCGAACGCACCCGTTTGGTTCAACTTAAACAAACATTTTGTTCTTTGCACAAAAAATGGCATGATCTTGGAGTATTCTATGAAATATGCCGGCTGCCATTCGGCTGTTTCAAGGTGAATCATTGCGTGACATAAAATTTGCATTCAGTCAATAGGACAAAGCGAATTTACGCATCTAATATCGACTTTCAATATTGGTATGAGACCACTTTTCCCAGTGGAATGGAAACCTTGCGAAGCTCATCCAAGCCCTTTTCGTTTTTAAAAACTTTGTACCTTGTATGAGAATCATGCTTCCATGGTTTCACCGGGTCCAAACCCAAATTATGGATTTATGCAAGCAGTGGACGGTAAAATTTCCGCACAGCCCCATCCTACATTATGCATTCAGTTCTTGAACAAATAAAACAATTACAAAAACAATACATTTCCGTTGGGAAAACAGATTTGTTTTACAATAGTATGGGGCTGTGCGGAAACTTTACTAATTAAATATTCAGATAAAATATTCGTTGGCTAAGAACGCGGTTTGTTGAACAACGGCTAAACTAAGGGTAAAAACCGGCTCAATGTGCAGAAACCGTGTTCATAATAAGAGGCCCGTGCATGATTGTGTCGAATACCGGCCCAAAGTGTAGAAACCGTGTTAATATTAAGAGGCCCGTTCATGATTACCAAAAAATATACCGAAATATTACCGGATAGCGAAGTGAGAAAATTTCATGCAGATGACAGGAGACGCTCATTGCATAATCGAGCAAGTTGTAAAGCGTAGATACAACAAGCTCTATTAACTCAGGTGGAAGTAAGATCGGCAACAAGCGAATTTCATATTGTTATATAAATGACTATTAAAAATCGACTCACCATAGGGCGCGGATGGTTTATAACATAAACCTTCTGATATATTTATGCAATGAAACATTCTGACCGAAAATCTAAAATCAAAGGCTTAGCTAATAAGGAAAAATTGATCATTAAAG